ACAGGGACGTGACGTCAGCGCGCCGTGACCTCAGCACGCTGTTACGTCACGCTCCATCCCCGGGGGTGTGGCAAATCGGGCGCGAGACCACGGGGGGCGCGAGGTCACGTGGGACAGCGGGGACAGCCCGGGGATGGGGGACCCACCGGGAAACGGGGTCCCGGGCACGGGACAGTGGGGACAGCCCCGTGACTGGGGAAACAGCGGCTCCTGGGGGACAGTGGGACCCCCCAACACGTGAGGAGACAGAGGTCCTGTAGCTCCATGGGGACCCCAATGATTGGAAAAATGGGGCTCCTGTGGGCTACTGGGGGACGGTGGGAACACCCCAGTGTTTGGGGAGGCGGCAGTCTCGTGTGCCCTGTGGGCTCTTGGAGGACAGGGGAGACACCCCAGCCAGTGCAGGGGTGACGGGGGTTCCGTGGCCAGCGCACTGCTGGGGGAGCCGGGGTTCCCGGGATACAGCAGGGAGCGGGCTGTTCCTTGGGACCCTCCAACACCTGTGCTCCAGAAACATTTATTGGGGGGACACCAGACACAAAGACAGGTGACAGGGGCTGGGGGAGCACTCGGCACCCTGAGGGGTCCGGGCAGCCCCCAGCCCTGGAGCAGTGTGTAAGGCACGTGGCTGGGCCGGGGGTACCGGACGATGTCCTGGCCCGGAGAGGGGGGCATCGCTCCAACATCCCCAGGCCATGGTCCCAGAGCCCCCGGAGGGGCAGCCCACCAGTCTCCCCACAGAGACCCAACCGCCTGACATTTGGCACTCCCCAGCTGTCTGTGGATGCCCCAGCAGGGTTTGCACCCCCTGAGCAGGGGTGTGGCCAAGACCCCCATGCTGGGGGCATCAGAAAGAGGTTTCCTGCACGGTGTACATGGGGGCACCAGCATTGCGGATGTACCCCTGTCCTTCCTCCTTCCCCTGCTGGTCGGGGCCGGGGGGGAGCAGGCCATTGGGCACCCCGTTGTTCTTCTCCATGGCGTCCACATGGCTGGGGCCCTGTGGGGACAGAGCAGGGGGCAGGGGAGGCAGCAGGGGCGTGGGGGGGTACACACCCATGCTGCCCTCCCCCCGGGGTGCTGGGAGTCTCTCCCTCACCTGGACAGGGTCGCCTCCCCCACAGCAGAACCACTGCCGGATTTTGGGGGGCAGGCAGCAGAGCAGCCATGGCAGCACGGGGGAGATGGTGCGGGGGTCCAGTGCCGCCGGCGGCGTGGGGCCTGGGGGTACAGAGCCGTGAGTGGGGCAGGGGGATCACGGTGGCCCCCCCACCACCCCACACTCACCAGTGAGCAGGCTGACCAGGACCCCCACCAGGATGACAGTGGTGGAGTTGTGGGCACTGTACCACATGTAGGACAGGCTGTAGAAGCGCTGCAGCCCGGTGGGCCTGGGGGACACGGGGTTAGGAGGTGTGTGGAGCAGCACCTCCACACCCTGCACACCCTGAGCCCCCCGGCCCGCTCACCTTGGGGGTGCTGATGTGGGGGGCAGCAGGGTGGTAGCCAGGACAGTGCTGAGGTTGCCCACAGTGGGCAGTGCTGTGCTGTTGGCTGGGGAGACCCCCTTGGCCCCCGCTGTGCTGTGCAGGAAGCTGCCAATGCCTATCCAGAAGGCCATGACCAGTCCAGCCAGGAGCCCCACGACAGCTCCCTGCAATAGGGGACAAAGAAGGGCACTGGCCCCCGTCTGGACTCAGGGTGCCCCACACCTCCCCACACACCCAGGCAGGGCTGGGGGACGCTGACCGGGCCAGGGGACACTCACCGTGGGGTTGGCACAGGGGAAGAACATGCCGAGGCAGAAGAGCCCCAGGAGTGGACCCCCCACCATGCCGAAGATGCTGATGGCCGCCTGCGGGGACACGGCCTTCAGCACCAGCCCCGTGCCCCTGGGGGTGCCAGGGGCAGGGGTCCCTCACCCCATCTGGGGTGCCAGAGCCAGGGGTCCTGCGGCCCGTGCCTACCTGCAGCACAGGTCCCAGCAGGGAGGACACATACGCCATCCCCAGGCACAGCAGCCCATAACCGAGAGCTGGGGAGGGCAGCGGGGTGTCATGGTCGTGCTGGGGACCCCCCCACCATGCCAGCCCCGCGGCTGCAGCCCTGGCCACCCCCTAGCCACTCACCCAGCAGCTTGGAGATCAGCGTGGCCCGCGACTCCGACAGCCCGGGGAAGTGCGGCCGCACCAGGTCCTCCATGGTCACCGTGGCCAGTGAGTTGAAGGCAGAGGAGATGGTGCTGGGGAGGAGAGGGAGCAGGAGGGGGCTTGGCCAGGACACCTGAACCACTGTCCCAGGGCTGCCACTCACCTGAGGGCACCGCTGAAGAGGCAGGCGACAAAGAGCCCGGGCAGCCCCGGCAGGTCCCGCAGCACGTCCATGACGAAGAACAGCACCAGCTGTGGCAGGAGGTCAGTGCAGGGCTTGGGGCAGCAGGGGACATGGGAGGGGGTCTTAACCCACCTGGTCAGAGGAGGCGTAGCGTTGGCTGGGTGCCAGCGGGTGCTCCCGGTCATAGACGAACATGACGAGGCCGGTGAGGCAGCTGAGGCAGAGCACAATCTGCTGGCAGGGGAACACGGCATAGCAGGACCTGCGGGCGCCGTGTGGGTGTCAGACCTGGGGGAGTGAGGGGGAGCCCGTCCCAGCTGCAGGGACCCCCAGCCCCAGCCCCACTCACAGCTTGGCCTCCCGCTCGCTGCGGGCGCTGAGGTAGCGCTGCACCTGTGCCTGGTTCACCCCGTACAGCGAGAGCATCATGAAGATCCCACCCACGGCCAGCGACCAGAAGGTGTGACGTTCCAGGGGGTTGGGGTCCAGGCTGTGGGGAGGGCCAGGGGCGTCATGATGACAGGTGCTCATTGGCACCCCACGCGAAAGAGGGCAACAGGGATGGACCACCACACCGCACCAGGGTCCCTCTCCCCCACCCCAGGCTGCCCTAAGCGTCCCCACAGCGTGACGGGGGGTCCCAGGAGGTCACTCACTCAATGCCGGAGATCTTGCCCTCCTGCTCAGCCACGCGCCAGACACGGGCCATGCCCCCCACCCGCCATGCGCCCACCATGATGACGGCAACCTGCCCCGCCAGCATCACCAGCGTCTGGAACACATCTGTCCAGATGACGGCCTTCAGCCCACCCTGGGGACACACGACGGCCGTCACCACAGGATCACAGTGCCCGGCCCTGACGGCAGGGGCACGGGGCACCTGCGGCGGCAGGGACTCACCAGCGTAGTGTAGAGCGTGCAGACCAGCCCCATGGTCAGCACCGCGCTCCAGAGGTCAAAGCCCGTCACTGGAAGTGCAGAGGACGTTAATGGGGTGAGGGGCAGCAGCCTCCTGGCATGGCCCCCCCAGCCGTCCTCACCGTACCTGCGTTGAGGGCCAGCGCGGGTGCGTAGAGCACCACGCCCATGTAGATAACCTGCGGGGAGGGAGAGCAGCGCTGAGCCGTGCCCACCCCCGACCTCTGCACCCCCACACCCCGAGCTCCACTCACCATTTGGAAGATGAAGGTGACGGT